GTGCTCACCCCACCCCACCTGCCTGCCCCCTCTGCCCCTCCACCGCAGCCCCACAGTCTCTCCTGCTCTCCAAGGCCCTTCTGCCCCAGCCCTGTGGCCCCTCTACCACTGCCCTGCGGCCCCCCTGCCTCAGGGCTGCCCCCAGGGCCTCCCCAGCAGCTTCCCCCACCTCCGAACCCCACCATGTCCCTCTCCCACCCACACGCACTCCCTTCCTGTGAATTCTCTGGCCCCGGGTGCTGACACCCCACCCCTCCGTGGCAGGTCCTCTGCAGTGGACATCCCCCTGTGACCTACCGTGGGGACCCCTAAGACCTGGCCACCCCCCACCTAGAGCTGGCAGCAGTTGGATTACCTTCAGAGCAGGCAGTGATGCTGCCAAGAGACAGACAGGTGGTGGTTTTTCCTTGAAAAGTAAAAATCAAGCTGTTTATAGATGTGAATCCCCCTGTCTGGCCTGAGGGGGGGGGGCGGCTGCAGTGGCAAATATCGCTGTACGAGGCCTCAGAGCATTTTGTGGTTTTCTCCTTTCAGCTGGCGTGAATCATGGAGAAGTTTGGCATGAACTTTGGAGGTGGCCCGAGCAAAAAAGATCTTCTGGAGACTATTGAATCGCAGAAGAAGCAGCTCCTTCAGTACCAGGTTCGGCTGAAGGATGTCGTCAGAGCCTACAAGAGCCTCCTCAAAGAGAAGGAAGCCTTGGAAGCCAGCTTGAAAGTGTTGTCCGTGTCTCACGAGGCGGATCTTGGCCTGAGCGGGGCTCAGCCTGTGTCTGTGCCCAACTCCTTTGCCGATTCTGCTGATGACAGGAGCTCAGTTCACAGTGAAGACAGCGTGGGGACGGCTGCCAGCGCGGACACGGCTGCCAGTCTGGCCAGCACCAAGGGTGAGCCAGGGCCTGAAGATGACAAGCCCACGGCCACTGCTTCCTCTCTTAAATCAGAAGAGACGAGCGGTTCGGAGAGCGGCGTCAGCACGAGCAGCGGGGATGTGTCACCCGCTGCCAGTGAGGCCGATAAAAGAGTCCTCCAGCTGAAGACCCAGCTGGCCACTTTGACCAGTGCTCTGTCAACAGTCACCCAGGAGAAGTCCCGCATGGAAGCCTCCTACCAAGCAGACAAGAAGAAGATGAAGCAGGACCTCGATGAGGCCGTTAAGAAAGCCGAGGAGGAGAGCGAGAAGCTGGAGACGGAGCTGAAGTCTGTGCAGGACCAGCTGGCAGAGACCAAAGCCCGTCTGATCACGCAGCAGCACGACCGAGCCCAGGAGCAGAGCGACCACGCTGTCATGCTGAGGGAGCTGCAGAAGCTGCTGCAGAACGAGAGGACTTTGCGCCAGGACGTGGAGCTGAAGCTGGAGGAGACCAGGGAGATGTTGGCCGGCAGGGTGTGCATGGCCGACCGCGCCGAGGGCTACGAGCTGCAGATCAAGCAGCTGAGCCAGGAGGTGGAAGACCTGAAGGGAGAGCTGCAGGCCGTCCAGGAGGAGAGCAACAAGCCAGACCCCCGGATACAGGATCTGCAGGAGGAGATGGCCGGCCTGAAAAACCACTTCCATGTGCAGCTCTTGCAGGAGATGAAGAAGGTAATTCCTCGTCTGGGCCCTGGAGGGGCTCGGTGGGGTGTATCGGCAGCAATCGGGGCAGGGCTTGAGGCTGGAGGAGCACAAACTCCCCTTCCCAGTCCCCCAGAGTCCAAGAGGTTTGAAGTAAATGGGAGCATCACGGCTTTGATGGGATGATAGTCCCCGAGGAAAACAAAAGTTGTTTGGGCTGCAGCCTGTAAGTCATGAGTCATGGGGTGGTGGCCACTGGACTTGGGAGTAACCTTTGAGGTGATCACACAGTGACTGTCCTCTACGGTGTCATTTGGCTCCCAACACGTTACTGTCGGGTGGGAAAATGGCCAGGCTCGGGAGGAGAGACCCTTCCTGGGCCCCACTGTGGCAGTGAGCGTGGTCTTGTCTCTGAGAAGTGTGTAAGTGCAACACAAGGTACAATTACAGGAGTTTATAAAAACAGATCCTCTCCAGTGAGGCTCGGAGCTCTCTGTGGAAGGAGAAGAGCTCTAGTCTGTGTGGGTGCAGGGGAAGAGCCAAGAGCTGGAAAGAGGGATGTGGTGGAAAAGAGGAACCTGTGTAACCCCGCGGGTTGTGGGGCAACGTGCTCAGGGGTTGGCATTGGCAGGGGGAGGGTTGGCACCAGTAACCGAATTTCCATCTGGAAACACTCCAGAATGGGATCTGCCTCGTGTCCTTGCAGCCTGGAACAAGTTTTCTTCTTTCTAATCTGAAGCCTCAGGCTGCTTCAGTGCAGTTTGCCCCTTTTTTTAGAGGTGGCCTCCAACAGCTTCTCTCTGGCAGAGGTGAAGGTGACCTGACTCTGGCTGTGCTGTGGTTCACGGTGGTGATTGTCGATTGTTGCTGTTGTCCAGAGTCAGTTGGATCTCAGTAGCTGTAAAAACTGGCAACAGCAGGTGTTTGCTGTACCTACTCAGAAACCACCGAATTATATCCGTATGAGTGCTCCAAAGCACAGGATTGCTGTTAGATGTGTGAAAGCTTTAGAGCATACAGGCATGTTAAAAAAGTCCTATAGCAGATTGTGACGGGAGTTTGCTGCTTCACAGAGTGATCTGTGGTTGGCAGGGGCCTCTGGAGAGCACCCAGGCCAACCCCCTGCCAGAGCAGGGGCACCCACAGCAGCTCCCACAGCAACGTCTCCAGGGGGGTTGCAATGTCTCCAGAGAAGGAGACTCTACCACCTCTCTGGGCAGCCTCTGCCAGGCCTCTGCCACCCTCACACCAAACAACGGCCTCCTCATGGTGTTCCCATGGAGCTTCCCCTGCTCCAGTTGGTGCCCGTTCCCTCTTGGCCTGGCCCTGGGCACCACTGGGAAAAGCCTGGCCCCATCCTCCTGACACCCACCCTGGAAGGATTGCCAGGCCTTGAGCAGGTCTCCCCTCCCTCTGCTCTTCTCCACACTAAACACACCCAAGTCCCTCAGCCTTTCCTCAGCACAGAGATGCTCCAGGCCCCTCATCATCTTTGTAGCCCTCTGCTGTCCCCTCTCCAGCAGTTCCCTGTCCTTCTGGAACTGGGGAGCCCAGCACTGGTCCCAGTGCTGCAGCTGGGGCCTCCCCAGGGCAGAGCAGAGGGGCAGGATGACCTCCCTCCACCTGCTGGCCATGCTCCTGATGCCCCCCAGGATGCCCTTGGCCTTCTTGGCCACCAGGGCCCATTGCTGGCTCCTGGGCATCCTGGTGTCCCCCAGGACTCCCAGGTCTTTCTCCCCAGAGCTTCTCTCCAGCAGGTCCCCCCCAACCTGTCCTGGTCCCCCCCCCGCACACCTCCAGCAGTGCAGGTAGCGCTGGTAACAGGAACTCTGCAGAGCAGGGAACAAAACCAGGAATGCTTTGAGTTTATTCTATCCCCAAATCTCCAACACCCACCCAAAAAGGCGAGTCAGCGTGGTGGCCTGTGCGGGGTTCTAGGGGAAGGGAGGTCCCTGCGCTTGTTTGGGGTTGAGTGGGACAGAATGAAGTCCCCCAAATGTTAATTTGTTGTCCCCCTCCCTGTGTCTCTGCCCCCAGACGGCGCAGGCGGAGGAGCAGCTCCGCCAGCAGGCCCAGGTGGAGGAGCGGCGTGTGGCCGACCTGGAGGGCCAAGTCTCCCAAGTGTCCGAACTACTGGGGACGTACGAAAAAGCCAAGCAGAAGGACCAAGCCATCATTCAGAAGCTAAAGGACCGCATCGTGCAGTTGGACCTGGAGAACAAAACCCTGGCCATCGCTGCCTCCAGCCGATCCCCTCTCGATATCCACCTGGAAGAAGCCAATCTGGATGTTAACGTTCTGA